CAGACCTGAACATTTATGAATTGGTAAAATTTGCCATCTAAATTACATATAAGACACAGTTAACAATATGCTTAATCAGCTGTATGTGGCCACTTAAGTGATAGTGTAAATTCTTAAATGAACCTTAAATTGATTTACGTTTATAAGTTACAAACCTTTTAAAATCAGAGCTATATGTGTGTCCTCAAAAACTTTATATTGCTTTTTCCCTAGCCAACTATCTTTTCCTTGAATTTTATTCCAGATCAGCTTCTTATGGCTTCTCCTAACAAATTCATTTATGGTCTCCTCACCAATTTTGGAAAGCTCATTATCCTAAAATATAAATCAACATGTAACAGTAATCTAACTACCCCACAAACTTGATCATCCATGCTTAATTATTTTAGCTTAAACTATCTAATAAAAAAACAGCCTCTGTTACAAAATCAATCAAACATTCATTTGCAAATTTTGGTTTCTCATAACCATGGTAAATGCCTATTAAATCTACAATTTTAGGATATATAAACAAGATAGGATATGACTGACTACTAAAACTCTTTTTTTAGTGGGATTCCTTCAAAATGTACACAAATTTCTATAACATTGTTTTTTTGTGAAGATAAAAATACCATTGAAATTTGAATCATATGGATCAGAGTATTTGTTCTCTGGGTGAAGCGAAGCAAGAAGGGTTTTAGCATTTGAACTCAAATGAGAAAGGTCAGGAACTTCTTTATGAATTTTTAATAAATCACCTACATAAGGGATAGGACAAACCTCAATGCCACATGCACTTTTTAGAGCCACACAAGATCGAGAGGATTATGCCATAATTGTTGTTAACATCCACTAATTAGATAGGGCAACATAAGAAGAAGAATAAATCACCTGGTATTAAAGGACAAAGTCCAGTTGAATAACTTATTAGAAAAATTAAAAACATCTCGATAAGGTTCTCCAGAATTCTCCTTACAACCATGTTTAGACATTTCTTCAGTTTCATTGAAAGAAGAGCTTTGTAAAGGATCACCGGAATGGTCGTCCACGTGGTAATTTGCATTATTTTAGGTACTTAACATGTTAAATTTAAAAAAGTTTAAATTGGAAGTATTGTAACCTGAACTATTTGAACTGAATGATCAGTCAGGGATTCCGAATAAAAGTTTGAAGGAGATGGAATATCGAGGTTATTAATATTTTCAACAAAATTCTCTACGTTTTTCGTAACCTTCCTCTGTTAATGACGCTTAGAAACAAATCGTTTTCTTTTAAACATAATTAATAAGTAAAAATTACACTTACCTTTAAAATAAAACCAATTTCTGAAGTATAACCTAACACGTGGTACCAAACCTTTAACAATATACAATAACCACAACACAAAGCCAAGCATCAAAAAACCAATGCACTGTATACTGCTTAAATAGAATTCTTTTATTTCATTTATTAAAGCATTAATAATATAAATATAATTGCCATTTGTTTAAATAGGTATGATATGAGTGACAGACAATGACATTATCATCATTATTTTGTTGTCAGCCAGAATATATACTACCACTTGTTCATCTTTGAAAAATGATTTCAAGATTCATCTTGTTGATAAAAATCATATTTTTACTTATTAGAATTAGCAAACATATATCATCGTGATAACTAGAATAATAAAACAATTGTAACGAATTATCTAGAAATAAAATATTTTTACACTTTACCTTTAACAAAAACATGTTTTGGATATATTAAACTATACAATTTTTGGACTTTTTCAATATTGGTGCAATGAACATAACCTCATTGATATTTTGACATTAAATGTAAGCTTAATATACGTCAGTGTTGCCATATACTCAAATATTTCCCACTCTCACATATAAAATTATTGGCAAGATTTATATTATATGAAATGAAAATGTAAAATTGAAAAATACGTATATAATTAAACAAAAATGTGAAAAATATATATATTTTTTACCTATACATAGGTATATAATTCATTAAAATTATACCTATAAATATTATAAAATAAAATTATATCTTGCATTTCTACATTTAAAAATATTTATATAATAAAAACCATTAAAATTATGCTTAAAAATTAATAGTTTAGAAACTTTGTAAATTACAGAATAAAGTAAAGTTAAATGAAAAAAAAAATTAGGTTAAACAAAAGTATTTAGCTATATATTTTATGAATGCTTTTTAATATGAATTCAAAAATTGTGGCTGTGGCGTGTACATTTTTACATTTTACAGAAGTAAAACACTTCACATTTACCTAAGTATATACCTAAATACAAATGTGAAGCATTTTACTTCTGTATAAGTTTTTTAAAGCATATATAATTTCGTCAAAGTATCTTTCTATTTTAAACACTCCTATACTTTATACAAAAAAAAGTGGCAACACTGTGTCACACAAACATATAGCAGCTGGATGCCAGGTTATGTTCATTGCACCAATATTGAAGAAGTCCCAATTTTTAATTAATCATGATTTAACCTTTTCGCTTTTAATTATTTTATTAACGCAAATAATTTTTTATTTTATTAAAATATTTGCTATTTGATCCCATAATTGGTAAATGTCAGATGTCCAGAAAACCTCCGAGGTCGGACGTCCAGAGAACGTCCATATTTAGTCCACCCAAAGTACGTCCCACTTCGTACGTCCATAGTACGTCCATTTTACGTCCAGGGACGTCCGGACCAAAACTGGACGTATATTGGACGTCCATAGGACGTCGTGTGTTACTAGGGAATGATAAACTGTTTAATGTTGGTTGGCGTGCCTCTTCTTCTTGGCTCGGATCTGCCCGTTCAGTTTCTTCTTTCGCATTGTATATTATATCCATTCTGCTAGCTACAGTTACTTCTTCTCTACCTCTTGCCCTCGAAGCGTGTCTTGTGATGGCAATGCATTCCTTTCTCTTATTGGCGATCTTTTCGCACCACCAATACGACATTTTTCTTTTTTCATATATGCTTTTCATGCAATTGCTCATAGTTTATTGATTCGACTCATGCTGATGGCCGTTGGCATTTTCTTTTCTCTATCATCCATATGAAATGCTCATAAAACGCTAGCCAGTCCATTCTATTGCCACATCTGATTCCTGTTTGATTCACGGATGACTCCACGTTGGTAGTCCCTATGCCAACCATCGAAAAAACAATGTATCGGTGTTCTATAGCAGTGTCATCTGGTAGCACCGCTAGTCTCTAATTTTTCTCGAAGCATTCTATGTTTCACAGGTGACAATTATATATGAACCAGCATTTCTCCTCACGAACGTTGGTTCCCCACCATTATTTAAGACAACTAAGTCTAGAGTTATCCATTTTATAAGCATTTCATGTTTCTTTCCATTTCGCACCACCTTTGTTAGGTTCAATAAATCCTTTAGGTTCACTCACTTTCCTCATTACTATCCATGTTTCTTTTTCACTGCCATTCTCCGCCACTGTTTTACCCATGTCTTCGTTCTTCTCTTTTTTCTCGTCATTTTTCTCCTCCCGACTGCCCTCTTCTTCCTCTTTTGCTTTTGCCGTCAGCCTCTCTTCGCCTATATTCTCCATAGACTCTCCTCTTCATAGACTAGAATTTTCATTAAATATTCATTAATCCCCTAATAATGTTAGTTGGGAGAGATAAGTTAGGAACTTGAGTAATGGACAGCGGACAGCTTCACCATTATTCAGTCGTCTTGTACGACAAGCAGGAGAAGCCGTGAAGTTATTCTACTTGAATCTTCACACGGAGACAGTAGAACCAGACTTCGAGCTATTGCACCACTGAAAGTGGTTTCATTTGCTTCCCAAAATGTTCCGCATAGTGTGTGTACAATAATTGTGATGCCTAGATATTTCGGGTATGGTTTAAAATGTAGCAAGTTGTTATGAAAAAAAACTTCAGGCTCGCTATTTGGTGGTTTTTATTCAGATGAAAGTAGGCATCCCTCGATTTATTTATATTTGTAATAAGCCTCCAGTCACTGAAATATTTTCCGAGAACTATCAAATCTTTTGACTGTATGTTGCTTGCGCTTTCTATTATATAGTGTATTGGACGGCTGGTGCAAGTCATCAGGATATGCATATTTCTTTGCCATCATTTGAGTGATGCTGATATATACAGATTAAAGACGAATAGGGCAAACACTTATCCTTGAGGGAGCTTATTTTGCAAATTTCTTATCCTGTTCTTACTCCCACCAGTCATTATTTGGAAAGATCTATTACTTGAGATATTGATTGGTAGAATAGCAACATGGCTGCATAGTATAGTGTTCAAAGATTTACAGTCCGTCCCTCCATATGGTGTGTCGTAAACAGCAGATCAATGCTAGGTACTGTAGTCTTTAAGCATCGTTGAAATCCAGTGCCTATATGTATGTTAAGACTGATATCTTGATCTTTTAGCTGCGATGGGGGCGGAAACCACCAGAATTTTTTGAGCTTAGTCTGTTTCCGAGTAGTTCCCAAGTAGTTTGTAACCATATTTTGGGTTTAAGCACTACAATACACTATTTTTGCTTTTTTTTTTAATCCGTGGGTAGGCATTCCGCTGTCAGGGTATTAGAATAAAATTTACCTGGCCACATTATTGCGTGTTTCCCACAAGGTTTTAGGAATCCTGCCTAGATTATTTTAAATACTGGTGCTTTGTCAGATTTGGTATCATTTAATGCTTTATTCAACTACCCTATTAAAAAAAAATGAAGTGTTCAGGCTGGGCTTCGATTGTTCGGCGTATATTTCTAAATTTGTTGATGGCCTATGTCGGATAATTCTAATTTGACACAGAAAGAAGAAGATATAAGCCATATGGAGCCTATTTGAGGAAATAATTACATCATAAGTCAAAGAAAGTCAACTTCTAGGGGAAGAGAGAGCGGCCAGCTGGTGAACTATGTATAGAAAGAAAGAAAAAGAAGCAGTGATTATAGGTAGGAAAAAAAAACTAAAAACTAAATCCAGTGCCAACAAAACGTGAGAAATAATCATTAACATGATAATTTTTAACAGTTTATTTAAAAAAATATTTTTGGTAAAGTTTACATACTCTTATACCTAATTAACATAACATTATAAATATAAAACAAGTTAATACAAACAAGTCTAAACTATATTTAATTTTTCACGGCTGCACTTCACAAACGAAATATGTCTCAAATGAACAAGGTGAGTCGTTCCATTTAAGTCCTTTTCCATCTCTGTTCCATAATTCTAGACAGTTTTCCTGTTCTCCATTTTCATATTCAAAGTTATTTGGTTCTCCTGCATTCCAATTAGTAAACGTAATGGGACGACCCGTTGACATCCAGAAAAATTTTCCTTCTTCCGCTAAATCAGTTCCAGAAGTCCAGAAATGTTCATGGCCGAAACCTTAAAAAAATTAAATATTACTAAGATATCAAAAAAAATTAAATCAGTACGTTAGAAAATTATTTAACAATAGACGTGGAAACGACACACTAATACCAAATTTCCGCAGTAAGATCGCTGGGAAACTTTTTGCAGTCGATTTGAAAAAGTGTCAGGAAAGTTTGTAAATAAAATTCATATTGGTAAAATGAAAATTGCATGTAGTGGATAGGAAAAATTTATTTCCAAAGTGCATAAAAAAAGAATTTTCAACTAAGAAAATATCAATAGGAATGAGTTTCATTTTGTTACTCGGGGGTTTTTTAGGTCGCTTAACATGAATATGATAACGACAATGGTCTTTCAGCTTCCTGGTGCACAGTGTAAACCTCGTCTGCTTTAGTTTTATGTTATTTTCATTCGAAATCAATCGAAGGTTGGAAGGTTTTCGAAGTCGCTGAACACGAGTATTATGACGGTGATGATCCTCGACCTACCTGGTGCCCAGGGTAAACCTCGTCTTTAGAAGTCTTATGTTATTTTCATTTGAAATCAGTCGAAAGTCATTACTCGGGTGTTTTCGAGGTCGATGAATACGAATAGTATGATAGCGATAATCCTCGAGCTACCTAAAGCCCAGTGTAGACCTCGTCTCCTGGAGTTTTTTTGAAATCGGTCAAAAGTCATTACTTAGGAGAGTTTGGAGTTACAGATCATGAATATTACGGCGGCGGTGATCTCAAAGGTATCTGATGTCCAGCGTGGACCTCGTTTCCTGAATTTTTTTTACGAATTTGTTATTTACGAGTTTTATTGACATGAAACTCCAGGAGACGAGGTCACTCTGGGTACCTGATACCTATGAGACTAACGCCATCGTAATACTCGTGCTCGTGCCTAACAACCCCAAAAAACCACTGAGTAATAACTGTTGACTGATTACGAATAAAAATAATATAAAATTCCAGTTGACCAGGTCCACTCTCCACCAGGTAGCTCGAGGATCATCGTCGTTATTATATTCGTGTTCAGTGACCTCGAAAACCCCCCGAGTAACAAAATTGAACTGCCGATATTTTCTAAGTTGCAATTTTTTCATTTTCTATGTACTTTGGAAATGCGTTTTCTCTATGCACAAAATGCAATTTTCATTTTACCACCATGAATTTTATTCACAAACCTTCCTAATATTCTTTCGAATCGAATGCATAATGTACAGCGATTCATCTTGCTGTAGAAAATTGGTAGGTTTAGTGCTTTTTAGTGTTTCATTTCCTTTTCATTTTCATTTCATTTCATTTCAAGATCAAGTAAATGAAATTTCTGTTATAACATGTGGTCCATATGTATGGAATAAATTCATTTTTAGCATTATTATGTACTATGTGAAAAAACCTGAAACAGGTCGATTTTTATTCTTAAATTGACAATTTACAGTATGAAAATACTATACCCCTCCAGCACCCCCTTTGAATTATAAGCACACCCTCGAAAATTTTAAATAGCAAAGGGGGTCGTGTGACACCTTGTTACAAAGAGATTTTAGTTCTCTGTTCAGCACTATAAAGTTTTTTGAGTTTGTGCAATCATAACTGAGAAAATTGATTTTTACAATTAAATTAAATGTATAACTTGACCACCATTATCCACTTCTTGGCAATAACCGAGGCGATTTTGGAATTCTTATACAATTTTTGTATGACCTCGGGGGTTATTTTGTTAATTTCTTCCGTTATCCCAACTTTTATATCAGCAACATTGCCTGGTCTATTAAAATATATTTTAAAAATAATCAGGTATTTTCGTATCTGTTCTGCTAAACATTAGGGAAAAAACTGAAGATAATGAAATATTAGTCAAAAGCCAAATAAACAATTGATATGAATCTAGTAGCCTGCTGTCATTTAGGTATTTAAGGTTAGTAGAAGATGTGAGTATAATATTTGTGCGCGTATTAAATTTATTTATGGCTCATTTGTCCGAAACTAAAAGCATAGACATTTTAATTATGATTGGTTGTGATAATAAAACAATAGATAAAAGGAGGTTTGTGAAATAATAATTATGATTGGTTGTGGTAATAAAACAGTAGCTCAAAAGGAGGTTTGTGAAATGGTAATATTAAATACCCTGGTCAACAAGTTTCGCAGCCTACAGTTAGCAGAATTGCAAAGAAGTTTTCGGGATATGTAAAAAATATTGAAAAATCAGAAATATTAAATTTATTGATGAAAAAAGTTATATGTACTTCTAAAGATTGAGAAAAATCCGCATAAGACAACTCAAGAACTTGCCGCAGTCAATGATGTAACTAAATCGTGTATTTTGAGAGTTTTACATACAGAAATATACCACCCTTACAAAGTTCAGTTGGTTCAGTAGTTAAATGAAGATGATCCTGATAGAAGGGAAGAATTCTGTGAAATGATGATGGACAGAATGAACACAGATTTGCAGTTCATAAATTAAATAGTTTTTTTCTGATAAAGCGACTTTTCATTTAAACGGAACGGTTAACAAACATATCTGTAGATACTGGAGCAGAGAAAATCCTCACTGGGTGTGTGAGACTCACACACAATATCCTAAAAAAATTAACGATTGGACTGGTATCATTAACAATAAAATTATTGGTTCTTATTTTTTTGAGCGCACAGTTGATGGTGAGGTTTATCTAGAATTTTGATTAACTTTTTAGTGCCTACATTACGAAGATTTTTTCCTAATTTTAATCATCCAAATGAGATAGATGTACCGATTCTTGAGAGGGATAAATATTACTATATCGTAACATTATTGTCTACAAAATTGTTCTTCGTAGAATTTGGCAAAGATAATGGCTTTTAGAAGAACAATTCTTACCGCTTCGGTAGCATATAACTTACCGGAGTCTTTAATATGTTTTTCTAGTTTGTCATTTTCCTCTTGGGAAGTGATACTGGCTAAATGCATCCCATGAAATCGGCAATACTGTGTTGCTCTATAATAGTTAGCCTGCAAATAAAAATGAAATTAGTTTAGTAAATAGTACAATGCAATATATTTCCTTATTTCCATCTACCGTTTAACTTTACATTAGAGAAGATTATTAGAGAGTGGACAACAACCATACCGTTAATATACCATAGAATACAAATTGGACATGAAAGAGAGGGTTTAAAGGTACACTGCTGAGCTTTATCTTTTAACTAATAATGCCAATGAAGCTAGAGTTAAATTGTCCAGCCTTCGATCAATTGCCACCAAAACTGACCTGAAAATATCATTTGATAAGGCCTACATTTTTATTTTCTTGAAAAAGTGTTTTAAGTTGAGTAGATGTCATATAGTAAATATGATGTGCTGATCACGAATCTGTACTTAGTTTTTTTTCCAGCACGTCAGGTTTTCAAGAAAAGTGTGTTTAAAATTTTTCATAGAAACTGCCAAAAATATGAGAAAATATTTATTGAAACCTTATTTAATATAAAATTACACTGCAAAATTGAGTTGTTTAAAAAAAAAGAATTCAGTATAACCTACTTACACAATATTTGTTGTTTTTTAATAAAACCGTTCTCTTTTTCCATGAAAACTGCTTTTTGTGGTCTTCTTTTTATGAATTTTTGGGATTGAGTCTCTCTGCAAGGTACAGCAGTAATCAGCCATCATTCTTATATACCATCTTCCTTGGTAACGGCTTTCCAGCTCCTTTACATCTTGATGAAACCTTTCTTCCAGCTCTTGGCTCTTCCAAAAAATTAAGATTGACGCCCATATTGCATCCCAGTTTTTTTATAATTTTCGACCATGTTAGTTAAAATTTATTTATAGTCTAGAGACTTGTTGTTTCCAAGCAAACCGTCTATGAGTTCTATGAATAACTTTGTGCTTCACATTCATCCTGGGTCATTGTATTCTGGAACAATCTGTCCGATTTTAAGGTTCGAATTTGAGGGCCTACAAAAATTTCTTCTTTAAGTTTATCTTCAGAAAGTGTAGGAAATTTGTCGCACAGATATTTAAAGCGGTTACATTGTTTATCTAAAGCTTTGACAAACTGCTTCATTCATCCTAACTTTATGTGAAGATGAAGCAAAAGAACTAATTTTAGGTCAACTACTGTATCACTTTGCACATTTTTTATCTCGGTACTAGTCTTTCTCTGAGTGGCCACTCTTGTTTAACGTAATGTAAATTTCGTGTTCGAGTGTCCCACTCGTATAAAAAAACATGGACACTATGTGAACCCAGACTGCTGAACCAAAAGCATGGATATTATTTTTAGATCTCCACAGAATTGCCAACAATATTCGCTATACTTTGTTTCAGATTCACGGAGTGGGCAACAGGCACTGAGGCACAAGTATTACCATTGTGCAATAATGACACTCTTCAGATTTCTCTTAGAAGAATCATTAAATAACCGCCATGATGTGGAATCGTAATTGCCAGCTCCCAGTTTTATGACTACTTCAGGAATATTATGACAATACACCTGTGAGCCCTCTTGAGAAAAATATTTCGCGAACTCTTTTTCACGATGCTTATACCACAAAAATGTTGTACCTGCAGCCAATATATTTTTATCTTTCAGTCGTGATTCTAAGATTTTTGCAGCATTCTTCGATAGACCTAAGTCTCTCACTAAGTCATTTAGTTCAGCTTTTGGGGTTGGTCTATCTCAGGATTAAATTCATCTTCATCGGTTTTTTGTCTGAACTTTCATCTGATGATTGCTGTTGGATGGTGTGAAGAAAAGTTGGAGAAATAGGGATTCCTAGTTCATGTGATATAGGTCGTTTAGCAGAAGGTAAATCAGGATATTGAATATTGTGCCAATTTTTTGAATTGAAGCAAAAGAAGCAGTCGTCATGGTTTTTTGGTTCCCTCCATACGATAGGAATGCCGAAGGGTAAAGAGTTACGTGTACCTTTTGTCCATTTTCTCAGTAGTTCGACACACTGAACGCACACTTTGTGTGGAGCCCAAGGTTTGTCCTGATCCCCAAACTTTACAAGCACCAGTGAGGTATTTGTTTGCGCTAGTATATAATATCTCGCAAGGTTTTTTCAATTTTGTGAAAATTTTGACGTGATGGGCAGTGTTACGATTCAAATGATATTAACATAATAAAAATATTTTCTATCGACCTATCAAGTATTTTAAAGAAATAATTTTAATTCAATTTACGAAATATCAATAAGGTATTTGTTTGCACTAATACATAATATCTCACTAGGTTTTTGAAACATTTTGACGTTATGGGCTTAAACCGAATTCGTATTCAGAATCAGCGAACCCATATTAGCTAAGGACACATATCAAACTCAAAACACCAAAAATCATGTCGGCCTGTGTAATCTGAGTTCGTTACAAACATTAAGAGTGCACCCCCTTAATTGAAAATACCAGAAAAAGTCAAAGGGTGAAAAAAGTCAAATACCTTGGAGAGTTTAATTACATTTTATGGGTTAGAGAATGCTGCCATTGAAAATAGATGTTCAAAATTAGAAGGCATATTCCATTTGTACAAAATCAGAATCGTTTAAACTTGTCTGTGTAAACTTCTTCTTTTTCTTCCTTCTAAGCCTGTTTCTTCTTCAATATTAGCCTCCTAAATTGTTTAAATTTTCGCACCATCTTTTTCTTGGTCTGCCAATACGTCTTTGTTTATTTGATGACTTATCTCGTGCTATTCGAATAATTATTATATTCTCTACCATTCTACTAATTAATGTGTTCATTCCACTCCTGTTTCCGTTTTGTCACCCATCCATTTATGTCTTTTATATTGTATGCTCTTCTTATATTCTCGCTTTTCTCCCTATCCAAGAGACATGATGTTTTTTGGAGTATTTTTATCTCTGTTGTTTTTAGTAGTCGTTTCGTTTTAGATGTGTCAGGTCTTGTCTCCGCCATGTATGTTAATATAGGTTTAATTGCTGCTTTATAGATTTTTGTTTTTGTGTCTTGTCTTAGGTGTTTGTACTTCCAGATTGTGCCATTAAGAGATGCCACCGCTTTACTTGCTTTTATGCTGTATTATCGTACTTCTTCTTCAACATCTCCGTAACTAGTTATATGTATTCCCAAATATCTAAACCTTGCTTCCTGCTTTATCATTTTTCCACCAATTTCGATTTTACATCGTATTGAGTATTTAGATATTGTCATACATTTGTTTTTTTTTGCTGACATTATCATATTGTATTTCTTGGCTGTTGTATTAAAGATCTGTGTTAATCTTTGGAGCTCGTCTTCTGTCTCGGCGATTAATGCAGAGTCTTCTGCATAACATAATATTTGGATTTCTTTGTACTCCATTCTGTAGCCATGACCTTTACGTACTGCTTGTATTATTTTGTCGATTATTATATTAAAGAAAAGTGGACTTAACGAGTTACCCTGTCTGACTCCGCTTTGTACTGGTATACGCATGCACTGTGATAGTTTTCATTTATCTTTGCCTGTATTCGATTATGGAAGTAGATGTTTTCGATGGTTTGTATAATATTGATTGGTATGTTTCTTTTATACAGTATTTGTAAGACGTCTTCGACTTGGATGCAATCGAAAACCTTTGTCAGGTCTATAAAACATAGATATGCTGGTTTATTGTAATCTATGGCCTTTTTGTGATTTGTCTTAATACCAATACGGCGTCTACGCAGGATCTGTGTCGACTCTGTCACTATTATACAGTGATCAGGCCGTTAACCGTAGATGCATGCGAATTTGTAAATATCGTAAAAAATGGCTATTACGTAAACTGAATTAATAGATAGGAAAATTTTGAGAAAAATCTAAGAACATTTAGAATTCCGCCGAAGACATTATCCAGAGATATAGGAACACTTGTAAAACATTGTTACTAACATGAGCAAACAGACAATAATGTTTTATGGTCACGTAACGTATTGTACCATAGTTTTCATGAAAGACGTGGAGCCTATCGACCCTTAACTGTCCCCTCGTACATTCTATATAAATGTCATCCTATGACACTTCTAATTGAAGGATGATTCCAAATACCAACAGCTGCCACTCGAATATTAGTCGTAACAGTATGGATCCTCAAAGACATACCCATCCTATTTACTTTTCAATCTTAATTGTTAGAGGTTACACACTCAGTCATGAGAGAGATGAAAAAATCTTCGAGGTCCTTAGTAGGCCCAAACGGCAGCAAAAAAACCAATGCATATATTATTATCAACACACAATACTTCTGTTAACCTAATTTCCTAATTTCCAACCACTATTTATAAACTAATGATAAATTGATTGCTTCTTTTTTTAATTCCATGACCGTTATCGATCGTTGAATATCATGTTGGCTGCCATATTTGCTAGCGTGACTTTATTGACAGCAGCTGTTTACTAGATATTTTCGTACCATTGTCTTAGATTTTGAGCTATGATGTTGTTTTTATACCAGGACCACGTTTAATTATCATCTTCTCTCAATAATCAGATACCAAAGTTTATATTTTTCAAGGTGTCTTTTAATGTGATCAAAGTATTTCAGCTTGCGTCTCTTTATTATATTGACTAGTTGTGTTATTTGGTTCAGCCGTCTAAAAACCTCCTCTTTTTCTCTTTTTATATTTTGTCGAGCCAGCATAGTCTTAGTAGTAGTATGTATGCCCACATCTGAAAGGTTTCCAACCGTTTAAGCATAGCATCACTTAGAGTCCACGCTTTCATTTTATTCCATACAGTAGTACTGGAAATATATACGAATATATCATTTCAACGAGTAGGGCAGTACTAATAGTTCGATTATATTTGTCCTAAAATGACTTTTTCAATAATAAGTTTATCTCCTCAGTTATGCATAGGGATATATTTTTTTTTAATTCTACGGTATCTACATTTTCAAAATAACGACGGTTTATTAGAAAGCAACGATAAATTATATTAAGTCAGACATGTTTTAGATTTACTTAATAACAAATTCATGAAGATCATAACTCCAGAAACGAACGTAGTTATAGATAATAAATGGAACC